TAAACAAATACATTATCTTTAACCACTTGCCGCCCTGCCAGTGTACATATACGGCGGCAGGGCGGCACTCGCAGGCAAAACCATGTTTTAAAAACATGTGTTTTGTAAACAAATAGGGGGCGCGCGCGAGGCGCGTCGCCGCCCTATCTGTCCCGCGGATCACCGCCGCAGATGTCAGTCGCCGGGTCACAGCCGCTCCTTAGCGGCTATGTCCCGGCGATCGGCGGCAAACAGTGACAGAGAGCACAGCTGCAGTAGCTGTGCTGTCTGTCACTTCCCTGTCAGCTCGAGGATGAGCTGATCGAGAAAGAACAGTTTCTCTTTCTCGATCAGCCTTGTCCCGCCCAGTACACACCCCCGCCCCCTAGTAAAACACTCCCCTCACTCCTATAACCCTTCCCTGCAAAATAAAGTTAACCCCTTCCTCCCCATTGCCATTAGTACAGTGTCAGTTTTTTTTTTTTGCACTGATCACTGTATTAGTGTTTTTGGGGATGTCAGTGACCCCAAGTCAGTACCCCCCAATGTCAGAATGTCCGCCGCAGTCCCGCCGTAAGTCGCTGGTTGCTGCCATAAGTCCCTGATCGCCGTCATAATTCGCTGATCGCCGCCATTATTAGTATAAAAAAAACCTAAAAATCCCAGTATCTTTCCCGCCATTTGTAAACGCTATAACTTTCACGTAAACCAATTAATTTACACGTATTGGTTTTTTTTTTTTAGCAAAGACATGTCGCAGAATGCATTTTGGCAGAAATTTATGACTAAATTTGATTTTTGCATTTTTTTTTACTGGACATGTTTTATAGCAAAAAGTCCAAAATATATTTTTTTTTTCCCTCAAAATTGTCAGCATTTTTTTTTTTATAGCGCAAAAAATAAAAACCGCACAAGCAATCAAATACCACCGAAAGAAAGCTCAATTTGTGGGGAAAAAAAAAAGGATGTAAATTTCATTTATGTACCATATTGCATGACCGCGCAATTGTCTGTTAAACTAGCGCAGCGCTGTATAGCAGAAAAATGGCGTAAATTGCAGTATTTATACCATAGTTTGTAGACGCTATAACTTTCATACAAACCATCAATATACACTTATTGGGATTTTTTTTTTACCAAAAACATGTAGCAGAATACATTTTGGCCTAAATTTATAACCAACTTTGAGTTTACTATATATTTTTTATAGCTGAAAATAAAAAATATTATTTTTCTTCAAAATTTTTGGCCTTTTTTTGTTTATAGCGTGAAAAATAAAAAGCGCACAGGTGATCAAATTACACCGAAAGAAAGCTCTATTTGTGTGAAAAAAAGGACGTAAATTTAGTTTGGGTGCAGCATTGCATGACCGCGCAATTATCAGTTGAATTATGGCAGCGCCAAGTAGCAAAAAGAGGCCTAGTCATTAAGGGGGGTAAATCCTCTGGAGCTCAAGTGGTTAAATGGAGATGCATAACTAAAATTTACATTTTGGATGGATTGACTCTTAATCCATTGGTGTGGAAAGAAAAAGTGTATATTGCATCAGCTCTTGTTTTTTTTCTGTCTTTGTTTAGGTGCATTATAACAATATGAAATGTAAGCATATTGACAAATGTGTCATATCATGAGTGGCGATTGAGAACCAGGCAGTGAAAAGGAATCAATAATGCTGGTATTCCATGTGTTTCAGAGAAGTTAAACAATGTAGAAGTAGCTATAAACATTTTTAATTTTATCATCAGGGATATAAGAGTGTGTAAAGAAAGGGAATAAGAGGGAATTTACCCATATTTCCCAGTTGCCTTTGTATTTCTTTCTGTCATGTTTTTTGACATAATATCAATTTGCTTACCATATTGTGTCATAGACCGTTATACATGTTGAAGCAATATGGGGGCTTCTGCCGAGTTTGCTAAGTTAGCTGTCAGCATGCATCTGTTTTTCTTTGATATATTTTGTATAAGATATTCCTTTTAAATTAAAACAATCACTAAATTCTCTTACAGATTTTAAAGTGGAACTAATTGATGGCAGGTAGGCTTCTACTGCAGAGGAGCCTCAGTATGTTTCCTCTGCAATAGAAACTCATTTTCTGCCTTCCAGTAATGATTGATCTGCATGGACAGTTCGGTGTATATTCTTGGTATTCTTTGTAGCATGTGCTTGACTAGTAGTTATTCCATCCTGGACCAACCAATCAAGACGGTTGAAGATGTCAAACCTAGAAGAAGCCCGGTTGAGGATGTTAGTGTGGGAATTTTCAGTGTTGCATTGCTTGAGGGTAGGTAGATACAGTAGACTTTACTTCTGCTTTACCATGTTAATGTGTTTTGAAAAGTTGCTTTCAATCTTTTTAAATAAATAATCTTGGCAATCCTACTCTAAAAGGTCCTTGTTCAGGCACCTCCTGTTATGGGTTGCCATGTGCCTTCTTGTCTGCTGTGTCGTCACCTTGTCACAAATACCCTTGTTTGAAACGACAGGTGACTGAGATGGCACACAATGCGCAGGCATGGTAAACCAGTCCAAATGTGTAACTGAATGCTGGAGTAAGTGTATATAGACTGAAAGTGGCTGAAAAAAGGAGGGATCAACAGCAATAAGTTGCAAAAAATGAAAACAGTATTTTTGTTATTAAACAAACATACAGAATCCTCCTGCGCTCTTATGTGATATGACACGATGAGGCAAAATTAAATTACAATGACATAAAAATTGAAAGAAGCTGCTAACATCTGATTTTACACCAATAGGCCTCAAGAGCATAAAAAAAACCTATAAACTGATGTAGCGCTTATATATCACAGGTCTAATGTGGAGCATATATAGTGAGTGACCAAAAAAACAAGGGGAGTAAACCCTTATCCGCATAGGGATAATAAACATGTGACCCCTCTCAGTCCACAATGTGGGACATAAACAAATATTCAGTGTGTCCCTACACAGGGATCAAAAAGACTAAAGTGTGAATTAAAACAGCACTGCAAAACAATCAACAAATATCAGAAAAAGTCCAGTGATCTGTGTCGCATTCCTTCTGGTCATGCAAAAGGGAGGAATGTGTGTGATCCCACACACCTTGAATGTGATCCAATTATAGCTGTAATGGCCTCTCACCTCCTCCCTGCGACCTCTCACCTCCTCCCTGCGACCCTACAGGGCCACAGAGCCTTAGTTATACCACCACTGGGTCTAGACAGCACTCCTCACGAGTTGATGGCTTGAGAGTGTTCCCCAGCAAACTGTTATTGTCCTTTGAAGGACACAGGAACGTAAGCTTCATTCTGGGGAAGAAGTTTTGTACACGTGGCATGCCTTATCAACTACACGACAGGAAGAAACTATTGCTGGAGTGCTTGGTGTTCCCTTAGATTGTCAGCAGACAAAAAGACTGACTGCTACCCTGCTGAACATACTCCCCGTGGAACATGGCATATGTCCAGTGATCCTCCTGCTGTTCTTTTTTCCTGCTAAATGCGATTTCATTGAGGTTGTCAAAAACGTCTTTGACATTCCCTTGAGATATTATGAATCTCTTTTAGACTATTTGATTATATTTTACGAGACTGGATGGCTGCCATAAACATCCTTCCTTTTTCTTGGAGCCTTCTTCCCTGATGCCTAGAATCAAAAGTTTAAAGCTTAGGCCTTTTTCCTTCCTTAGACTGACTGTTCTTACTTGTGAACCTATTGTTCAATTTCCTCTTAGGGTTCTCTTCTGAGGCAGAAAAACCTTCCCATGCTCCCTTTTTTTGGTCATTTTTGTTGTTGGCCTGTATATTTCAAAGTTTCTGTTGGAGTGGACTTCATATCCTTTGTGCTAAGCATTCCCTTTGGTGGTGATTCTTTTTCAGGTCTGAACATAAGCTTGATTCTCTGTGACCTCCCATGGGTTTTAATAGTCCTTCTGTCCAGTTGGGAACTTTACTTCTTCTGGTTCAGATCTGGGAAAAACCATTGCAGGCCAGTCCCACCTTTAACTGTCATGCTTCCCTTTTTTTCAAATTCTTTATTTATGTAGACAGCACCACACTCACAAAACAGTGCAAAACAGCTCCAGTATATACGTCAGAAGGAACGAGGTAACATCCCCCAAATACAGAGATCACAATGCAATAACCAGCCAGGAGTAATACAGAAAGTAAACAATTGACAGGCAATACAATATACTGTAGAGAAGAATGCCGACATGAGGTGCACCCCGGAAGGGGGGGGGGGGGGCAAAACTAACTGCAACTATGAGTGTTGGGGTCCATCCATTTTTATAGAAAGTGTATATAAAGGTATAGTGCCCCATCGTTGGTGTCCGTGGGAGGAATAGTGCCCCATTGTTGGTGTCAGTGGGAGGAATAGTGCCCCATCGTTGGTGTCAGTGGGAGGAATAGTGCCCTATTGTTGGTGTCAATGGGAGAAACAGTGCCTCATTGTTTGTCAGTAGCAGTAATTATGCCCCATTATTGGTGGGAGGAAAGGAATAGTGTCTTTTATCAGTGGGAGGAAAATTTCCCCTGAGAGCCAGATAAAGACAAACAAAAGGCCACATTCGGCCCCCCCGGGCTGCAGTTTGGAGACCACTGGTTTGTTTACCAAAACTGTTATTCTTTCAGGTCAAGCATTTGCTGTATATTGTAGGGATATTAACAATATTCTTTGCAGAATTGTTCCTGTTGTTATTCTGTGCATAGTGACACATGCATTCCAATTACTTTCTAATTGCTGAGTGCTAAGTAGGATGGTCTGCTTGCTGTAATCCTATGATTAGGGTTGTTTTAATAGAAAAACTACTAAGCAAGAAATGAATCATATGAGAAAGATATTACATTTCTGGGGGTAGTGTGTGCACACAACCCCTCTTGTTACATAGTTGCTGATTTTGTGCTATGAGGTAACAAAGACTAATGTAGTCCATTTTGTTTATTTTACAGTTTTAATAATCAATTTTCAGAGTGATAATTTGTGAGTTAAATAAACTTTCTGTTTTGATGTATTTTATGTAAGTGTTCATGTTTTCTCTCTAGGTTGGAAGGAAAACCCAGTTGAATTTGATTCTGTTTTTAATGAAAGTATGTACACATGGAGCTGGGGCAGCCCTGATATTTTACCCATGTTTGCAAAAGGTATGAACTGGTCCAATGTGTAATTGTATGGATGAAGGTAAATACAAATGTCTTATTTCCTATATTGTTTCAATCATTTTTTTTTCCTGAAGAGTCAAATAACCTAAATTATGGCTGGTTTGGTATGCGCTTGATAACCTTCCAGTATGGTTTTTGGAATGTGGGAGAAAATTGTGTAGAAGAATCCTCTGCAAACGTGCGGAAACATAAAAGTTCCTTACTGTTCAAGATAATCATGCATCAGAACGCAAGTTACACTTATTAGTTAGGTTCCACTGCACCACATGTAGAAACAGTGCATTAAAAAGAAAAAAAATATCAATTTGGTACAAAAGCTACACCCTCAGGGGCGGACTGACCATTTGGAAACTCGGGCACTGCTCGAGGGCCCGGGGTCAGTAGGGGGCCCCATGAGATACCCCTGGTACCTTTTTCATAGGCTTTTTTTGAGTTTGGGCAAGGACACAGGGGCCCCATGATCCCCTATTGCCCGGGGGCCCCATGAGTTGTCAGTCTGCCCCTGTACACCCTTGTTCTTTCCTGTGGTGTCCAGGTCAGGAAAACATCATGGACCTTCTGGCATGATCCTTGGAACACTGAAAATCCCAAATCTCATCGGAAGACACAACTACAGAGTGTTAGCGCATCTTCATGTGAGAATTTACATCCTCCATGAAACTTCATAATCCCCCCAAAATTGGGGATGATTATCAAATGGTGCAAGCTGCAAAAACTTTGGTAAATTTGTATAGCATATGAAGGCAATAGCCTGCACACTTTTAAAGGGTTGATTTAGCATGGAGAACATTAGATTTTGTTGTATGTTATATCTAGCTGTTTTTTAGCTGTATGAGATGTGACAATTTAATTCCTGAGATGCCCAATTAGTAGAAGAAATAGAATGTGTCTGCATTGCACTGTTGATGGAAAATGAGTGACAAGAATCTGGAGCAGCGGACTAACAGCAAATATGCGTGAAAATAGGCAAAAGTGCGAGTGAAACTTTAGCTCTGTGACAACAGGCTTATGGTGAACATTCCATGAACAAATCAAGTGTTTTTGAATGGCATAGACAGTTTAAGGGGCGGGAAGATGTCTATTCTATGATGACACAAGAAGTAGGCAGTCTTGATCAGAAAGAACATCGTCTTCAAATTTCATCCGATCTTTTGAAGAATGCAGACGTGTTTTTGATAAGGTTATGATAAGTAATTAAACATGGCGAAAAGTTCCTTTTTTTTTTTTTTTGTACAGTCTATTCAGGGAATTAAATAGTCATACTTTGTAAAACAGATGATAGAATATTATGTCAATATAATTAGCTTCCAGTGTGTCTGCTGTGTCCTCAGATCTGCACATATACATTTTCATCAGGCATATTTTTGTGCTGGTTGGTGGTAAAAAAATTATTGCAGTTGGTGTGTTTAACGCCTGAACCCAGACAAAACTTTTTTATTTTGTCTTGGATAAAACCAGGAAGTGTTAAACATCCTTTAAAGGGGATGCAGACAAAGACACATTGTCACTGAATAAGGAAGGTACAAAGAATGTCTAGCCTATCCCAAATGTACAATCATATTCCTATTTTTATGGGCACCACAAGAAAAGTAAATGAAAAAAAAAATCAGAATTATTTGGATAGGATTATGCTTAAATGTACATGACCAATATTTCACCAGCTGTTTAAGTAATAGATACACTGTTTTCCATTGCAGTGCATTGCTGTCTGCCTATTTAGGTGTGATGACATCACGGATAGCTTATGAGAGTATTATTATTATTATTATGCAGCTTGCTAGAGCATTATTATTATGCTAAATTTATATAGCATCAACAGTTTGCACAGCACTTTACAAAATAAAGGGAGACAATTCAGTTGGAATACAAACTGAATTGGAATACAATTTAAGGCAAGATGGTTAGGAGAGCCCTGCTCATGAGAAGTTTCAATCTAAAGATAGGAGATAGCCATACAGTTTGGGGTGGGGATTCCCAGAGGATGGGGAGGCTCTGGAGAAGTCCTGGATGTGTGCATGAGAGGAGGTGACAAGGGAGCTAGAGAGAAGAAGGTCTTGGGTGGAGCAAAATGGACAGTGGAGGAAATAAAAGTGGTAACATATTGAGTTCATTTTGCTGCTGCAGCTAGGGGAAGAGTTGTGGATGGCTTTGTAAATTGATGTCAGTATTTTGAAATTTAGCAGAGAGGGGTGGCAAACACTGAGTGGTTGGTAAGGTGGATGAGTCTGGTAGCAGAATTAAAGATAGAGAAGGGGGGATAGCCTGTGTAGAGGTAGACCAACAAGGAAGAAGTTGCAATAGTCGAGATGAGAGATAACCAGGGAGTGAATTAGTAGTTTGATTGTGTCATTGGTTAAGAAAAAGTGCATTTTAGAATTTGGAAGAGAAGGGAGTAAGATTTTACAGTGATTTGATGTGGTGTATGAGGGAAGGATAGTTGCGCAATTGATATTGATAGAAAGGGTAGGGGAGGGGGCATGGAAAGGATATGAACTCGGTTTTGGAAAGACTGAGTTTTATGAAGTAGTGTGACATCGATAGTGATATGTCAGTTAGTAGCTTAGTGATGTGTAAGGTGACTGAAGGGGTGAGCTAAGGAGTAGATATATAGATGTGGGTATCGGCAGCGTAGAGATGGTATTGGAAGCATGCAAGGTTGTCAACTGCCCAAAATAAAAAGTGTAGATAGAGACAATAAGGGGCCCAAGGACAGATCCTTGGGGTACCGTTATAGAAAGACGAGAGAAGGAGAGGTAGAGTTGTTGGTTACACTACAGAAGCCCTGAGATAAGTAGGAGAACAAGGAAAGAGCAGTCTTTGAGGCCAAGGCAGTAGAGGTTTTTGAGAGAAATCGGGTGGTCAGCTGAAACGTCTGTACAGGATGCCAGGGATGGGTCCTGGATGGAAGATATGTGTCCCCATTGTTTGGGTTGTGGTTCCTTTAACCTCCCTGGCAGTATTCCTGAGTGTAGCTCGGGGTTAAGTTTCAGTACCAGAAGAGGTAACCCCGAGCTACACTCAAGATTACACGGCAGCATTGCTCTGGGATCCCTGGATCACTTACCTTGTCCCACGCGGTCCTCCCGCTGTGTCCCCCCGCTGTGTCCCTGGCCATGTCCTCCAGCCGATGCCAGCATCTGTCTTCCAGATTCCATTCCCTGCGAGTGTCTGGATGTACGGGGGACGGAACCGGCGGGAGATTAAAAAATGTCAGAATTGTACATGCACATAATACACTAAAATCTGATAGTGTTACATTACTGTATCAAACCATTTCACATACATTTTGTCCCGAGTGCTTTGTCCTGTGCCCTGCCTGCATTTTTACCATTCTTTCTGCCTGGAAACTGAGAAAGGTCCATGGTATCCAAAAAGCGTCCCTTTAGTTCAAAAGCGGTTTTAGACCAGCTAGAGAACAGCGATAGTAAATTAGACCCACTTGCAGTATTGAGCGATAGTGATTAATGGGGAAATTCGTCATCAGACACTGAAAACGATTTTGCGTCTGACCTCAGTGATGTGCAAACTTTGCGCTCTATTTCAGATTTCAGTGTTTTTGGTTTTATTACATTATTGAATAAAATGTATTATTATTATATTATTATTTTTTTTAGGATTATTTATTATACTATAATTTATGATTTCATGTTTCAAATTTTATCATACCCAGGATGTTTACTAGACTCTTGTTCGGACAGATTTCAGTGAGTTATTCCTAAGAATTACAGGCCTACAATAAAAAAACAACATATTTCCATTGAAAACAATGTACCGCTTTGAGCACAGAAATACTGACATAATCATACTGCTAGGGAAGTTAAGGAGAACAAACAGAAAAGTTGAAGTACTCAGGAATTCTCTACCTTTAAACGGTGAGAATATTCTGGGTGATCTGAGAGAGGATGGAAAACTGATTTTCAGTTCGCCCAGGATTATTAAGTTCTGTTATGGGACCCTGACTACGGGTACTGTGGTCCTGAAAGGGTTAAGCCATCTGTGAGAGAGGGATATAAATGACGGGAAGCAGTTATCAGTTGTCCATGAGGTGTGGAACAGGACACTCTTGTGAGAAGGAGCTGTGCACTCTTTAGACTACTGAGACACTGCTGAGCTGTGGTGACATATCTTTGGATCCCTGTAGCAGGCAGAGGACTTTAAACCCAGTTTGTGGGACAAGGTTTTGCTGGTGGTGAGCCAAAGGCTTTCTTTATACCTGTGGTTGATGGACTGTTCTGTTGGTGTTCATGCTGAAATTAAGCTGGTTTTCATTTACCTTTTAAAAAATGGACTATTTGCTTTTAACCAACATACCTGGCTGGTAATCTTGACTCCCTCAAATATCACAGTTTTAATAGAGAGTTATTTGAGTGGCCATTGGTTTTAGCAGTTAGTAAGTCCTTAGTGAGTTTTAGAAGGATAGCTTTTGTGGAGTGTTGTGGGCGAAAGCTTACAGTAAGGGGCCAAGAAGGTTGTTTTCATTGAGATTGGAGCTAAGATAGTTGTAGACTAGGCATTCTAGGATTTTGGAGGTAAATGGGAGCAAGGATATGGGTTTTAGATGAGCAGAGTAGTTAAGAGGGAATGGGGTCCAAGGAGCAGGTGGTGAAGTGGTCGTCGGAGAAAGATTTAGCAACCTCCACTGTAGAGACATTAGTAAAAAAAATTAGATTGATGAATGTGGTGGTGGAGATGATATGGTAATTGGGGTAGATAGCTGAACAGTGGCAAGCTAATTACATATACATCTAGCTTGTTTTTGACATGACTGACAAAGTCCTGGGCAGTGAATGGCTTAGTGGGCAGCGGCAGTTGGGGATGAAGTAGTGAGTTAAAGGTGGAAAAAGATTTGACCAACATAAGAAGGTGTTCGCAAGAGTGAGAAAATAGGTCTGTTTGGCAGCATGGAGGGAGGAATTTATATTTAGGAGGGCAGCTTTACACAGGGCAAAATCGTGCAGTGAATTAATTTTATTTTACACTCACTCAAGAGAGCAGCTACAGTGGGGCAAAAAAGTATTTAGTCAGCCACCAATTGTGCAAGTTCTCCCACTTAAAAAGATGAGAGAGGCCTGTAATTGGCATCATAGGTAGACCTCAACTATGAGAGACAAAAAAGAGAAAAAAAATACAGACAATCACATTAACTGATTTGGAAAGAATTTATTTGCAAATTATGGTGGAAAATATTTGGTCACCTACAAACAAGCAAGATTTCTGGCTCTCACAGACCTGTACCTTCTTCTTTAAGAGGCTCCTCTGTCCTGCACTCATTACCTGTATCAATGGCACCTGTTTGAACTTGTTATCAGTATAAAAGACACCTGTCCACAACCTCAAACAGTCACACTCCAAACTCCACTATGGTGAAGGCCAAAGAGCTGTCGAAGGACACCAGAAACAAAATTGTAGACCTGCACCAGGCTGGGAAGACTGAATCTGCAATAGGCAAGCAGCTTGGTGTGAACAAATCAACTGCGGGAGCAATAATTAGAAAATGGAAGACATACAAGACCACTGATAATCTCCCTCGATCTGGGGCTCCACGCAAGATCTCACCCGTGGGGTCAAAATGATCATAAGAACAGTGAGCAAAAATCCCAGGACCACACGGGGGGACCTAGTAAATGACCTGCAGAGAGCTGGGACCAACATAATAAAGGCTACCATCAGTAACACACTACACCGCCAGGGACACAGATCCTGCAGTGCGAGACGTGTCCCCCTGCTTAAGCCAGTACATGTCCGGGCCCGTCTGAAGTTTGCTAGAGAGCATTTGGATGATCCAGAAGAGGATTGGGAGCATGTCATATGGTCAGATAAAACCAAAATAGAACTGTTTGGTAGAAACACAACTCGTCGTGTTTGGAGGAGAGAGAATGCAGAGTTGCATCCAAAGAACACCATACCTACTGTGAAGCATGGGGGTGGCAACATCATGCTTTGGGGCTGTTTCTCCGCAAAGGGACCAGGACGACTGATCCATGTACAGGACAGAATGAATGGGGCCATGTATCGTGAGATTTTGAGTGCAAACCTCCTTCCATCAGCAAGGGAATTGAAGATGAAACGTGGCTGGGTCTTCCAACATGACAATGATCCCAAACATACCGCCCGGGCAACGAAGGAGTGGCTTCGTAAGAAGCATTTCAAGGTCCTGGAGTGGCCTAGCCAGTCTCCAGATCTCAACCCCATAGAAAACCTTTGGAGGGAGTTGAAAGTCCGTGTTGCCCAGCGACAGCCCCAAAACATCACTGCTCTAGAGGAGATCTGCATGGAGGAATGGACCAACATACCAGCAACAGTGTGTGCCAACCTTGTGAAGACTTACAGGAAACGTTTGACCTCTGTCATTGCCAACAAAGGATATATAACAAAGTATTGAGATGAACGTTTGATATTGACCAAATACTTATTTTCCACCATAATTTGCAAATAAATTCTTTCCAAATCAGCCAATGTGATTGTCTGGATTTGTTTTCTCATTTTGTCTCTCATAGTTGAGGTCTACCTATGATACCAATTACAGGCCTCTCTCATCTTTTTAAGTGGGACAACTTGCACAATACTTTTTTGCCCCACTGTATATCATTTGAGACTTTTGGTGTCATCTCTTTGCCTGGGTTGAAGCAGTTGGGGTCTAATTCTGCATGTAGTGAGGGGAGCAAGTGTGTCCATTGAGGATGAGAGTGAGCTCTTGTAGACAAAAGTAGTCAGGGCAGAGCAGGACAGGGGTGAGCTTTTGTTTTAGGGGGTCATAAATAGCACAGAATAGAGAGAGGAAGGGTTGAAGTGGTGAATGTTTCTATGGATAACTTTGCTGGCTGAAGGGACAGGAGGTTGAGGACAAGGTGAGTGTATAAGTGGCAAAGTTGTGATCCAAGCGTAAAGAACGGATGTTCAAGAAGTTGCAAGGGGTGCAGAGTCGGGAGAAAATTAGGTCAAGCTGGTTACTGCCAGAGTGTATATGAATGATGGGATTTATTTGTAAAGTTTAGTGGTAGCCAGTGTGGTAACATTAACAGCAGTATCGAAGTCACCAAGAATGATAGTGAGTATTTCAGAAGAGACAATGGGGTTGATTCACTAAAGGCAAATATTCTGTGCACTTCAAATATACTTGCTCTTGATCTGAGGGGAAGCTCTGCTGATTGATCATCATCCAATCATGTGCAAGCAAAAATGCTGTTTTTTTTAATTCTCCGCTTATGTGATTGGGTATTCTTTGCAAAGTGAAGCTTTACCTCATTTACTAAGCTCTGGAGCAACTGCACTTGCAGTGCATTGTATATTTGCCTTTAGTAAATCAACCCCATGCATTGTAGCCAAGCAGGGAAGTCATCAAGGAGGAGAGCGATAGAGAATGGAGGTAAAGGTAAAGGAAGAACTTGGAAAGTGCTTTGAGCTGATAGGATTCCAGCTCCAGCCCCTTTTTCGTCCACTGGGTCTGAGTGAGTGCGTCCAGTGGGGTCACCAGGCGGAGAGGCAGAGTCTGTGTATCGTAGTTTTATTGTTTTCTGCAAATCTTTCAGCCATATTGTAGCAATTTAGGTTGACCGCTTGTGATAAATGTATTTTCAGGTGCCAGTGGAGATCATATATTTACACATTGTTACTCTGCATCAAGTGAGGACTTTGCATCTGAAGATGCTACAGAACTGGACACTTGGGTATTTGACAACGTGAAGGTCAGTGACAGATGGTCATATGTTGTTACTATGGTCATAGATGGTCATATGTTGTCTGTGTCGGATTTCATAGATTCAAAAGCGGTATAATTGCTGAGAACATGTGTAAGATGTGTTTACAAAAAAGAGGTTACTGGTATGGTTGGATTAGATAAACTTGGTAAATACACCGGTAGCAGTAAACCTACAAAAATGCAAAATAGTAAAAAGGATGTAATTGTGCTTTATAAATATTATGTGACAATGCTTTGTTTTAACTTTTATTTGGACTCTTCATTTCTACATAAGACTCATAATATAACTTATTTTGACTGGATTTTCTTCCCGATATCTGTACTAAAATTAGTCATTGCTCTTCATATAGTAATAGTTATGACATAATTGGTTTTGAAGTATATTCTATCTAAGGCCTGGTTCACGCCAATGCAGTTTGCTTTTGATCTGCTTTTGCAATGCTTTTTGCATTTTACTGTGCGTTTACACACCTGCATTTTTGCGTTTTTTTTTTCTTCCAGATTTATTTTGTTTTTTATTAATGGGAAAATGTTTTTGTTGCTGGGAAGAATAAAACCACAGCAAAAATGCACTACATGCCTTTTAGCAGTGTCTCCATTGAATTCTATTCTAGCAAAATGCTGATTTTTGCATTTAAAAAAATCCCTGACCCTTTCCAAAAATGCAGCTGCTAAAAAAGCATGGATGTGAACGTGTCTCATAGCAAACCATGTTAAATGGACTGGTGTGTTTCTGCAAAAAGCACTAAAAAACGTGTTGGTGTGAAACATTCTCAAAGTCTTTGTTATTTTATTGTTATTACTTTTAGATATTATTCTATTTATTTTATCAATGTTTGTCTTTTAGAATTTCTTCAGGTCTGCCCGCAACAACCAAACACTATTCAAGAAATTAAATGAAGAAAGAATAGTGTTTTTCCTTCATCTGCTTGGTCTAGATACCAATGGACATGCTCATAGGCCGGGGTTCCAGGTGTGTACTCTGTTTTATTGGGGAGAGGGACTACAGAAGGGCAGTACTCATAGGTCCATGAGGTCATGGGGTCCTATCATATAGTTACATAGTTAGTCTGGCTGAAAAAATACAAAAGTCCATCCAGTTCAACCATAGAAAAAAAAAAAGTTATAATCCTATACCCACAGTTGATCCAGAAGAAGGCAAAAAAAATCCTATCAAAGCATGATCCAATTTCCACCTGCTGGGGAAAAAAAAATTCCTTCCTGATCCCCCGAGAGGCAATCGGATATTCCCTGGATCAACTTTACCTATAAATGTTAGTATCCAGTTATATTCTGTGTATGTAAGAAAGAATCCAGGGCTTTTTTTGAAGCAATCCACTGAGCTGGCCAGAACCAGCTCTTGAGGGAGTCTATTCCACATTTTCACAGCTCTCACTGTGAAGAAACCTTTCCGTGTTTGAAGATTACATTTCTTTTCCTCTAGACGTAAAGAGTGCCCCCTTGTCCTCTGTGATGACCTCAGGGTGAATAACTCTACACCAAGTTCACTATATGAACCACTGATGTATTTATACATGTTGATCATATCCCCCTTAATCTCCTCTTCTCAAGAGAGAATAAATTCATTTCCTCTAATCTTTCCCCATAGCTGAGCTCCTCCATGCCTCTTATCAGTTTGGTTGCCCTTCTCTGTACTTTCTCCACTTCCCCAATGTTCTTTTTTTGAATTGGTGCCCCAAACTGAACTGCATATTCCAGATGAGGTATTACTAATGATTTGTACCGGGGTAATATGATATCTCTCTGTCTAGAGTCTATACCTATTTTAATACAAGAGAGGATACTTGTTAATCCTACTCATTTACCAACTTTGTGCTCAGATTCAGTTCTGTACCTAACACATGGGCACTTTTTGTTTTTACCCCAATATCTGTTTTTTTTTTTTTCTTTTCAGTAAAATTAGTAACTAATGGAAAAAAGGGCCAACATGGCTGTCAGATGTTTTTGTGTTCATTATATATGGGCAGCACAGGTTATATTGTGCATTACGGTTATATATACGCACTATGGCAGCTGCTGTGATATACAGGCTATACACAGCCAGATTTTGTTTGTATTATTGTTTTTTCTGATTCTAGATGATTGTCAGCTGCTATAGATGATTTTGATCAGATCAGGCAACAATCTCCTAGCTGGCACAGGCAAGTAGTCCCAGCTGAACGATCAAGGAGTTTGCCATAAATTGTAAATTTTCGAATGAACGAATGCTGTTTAAAAGTACTTAAAAATTTGATTTTGGAATGAATGAACTTTCCTGAATGAACACCATGTATACTGTAGGGCTTGTTTCACACAGGGTTCATCTTGTATAAGAGCAGTGTGAACAGCAAGCTTTCAGCAAGGTTTGTTGAAGCTTTTAACCACTTGCCTACCGAGCACTTTACCCCCTTCCTGCCCAGACCAATTTTTAGCTTTCAGTGCTCTCATACTTTGAATGACAATTGCGCGGTCATGCAACACTGTACCCAAACTAAATTTTTATAAAAAATTTTTTAGACAAATAGAGCTTTCTTTTGGTGGTATTTAATCCACCACCGGGGTTTTTATTGTTTGCTAAACAAACAAAAAAAGACCAAAAACATTGAAAAAAAAGTTTTTCTTAGTTTCTATTTATAAAGTTTTGTAAATAAGTAATTTTTCTTCTTCACTGATGGGCACTGAAAAGCTGCACTGATGTGAAGTCACTGATGGGCACTGATAGGCTGCTCTGATATTTGGCACTGATGAAGCTTCACTGATGGGCACTGTTAGGTGGCACTTATGGGCAGCACTGATGGGCACTGATTCAGCTGATGGGCACTGATTCAACTGATAGGCACTGATTGCCAGCAAACATGGGCACTATTGGCCGCACTGATGGGGCTACACTACTCTTCAGGGCACTGATGATCAGTGTAGATGTCCTCCTGTGAAATGCCGCTTACCGGCTGTCCTCATGCACTGTTAGCGTGAGGAGAGGACTGCCTATAACTGGCATTTCCTATTTACCCTGTGATCAGCTGTAATTGGACACAGCTGGTCACATGGTAAAAGCAGCTGTGACGGGCTCGTTCTTTACTTATGTGATTAGCTGTGTCCGAAGGACACCGTGATCACAGATTGCGTGCCACAGGGGGTGCGAGGGGGGTGTGGTTGTGGGGGGACATCTATGGACGCCTCTCAGAACTAGCCAACAGCGCTGTAGCCGTCTTTTGGTTATAGCATGGTCGGGAACTGGTTAAAGTACCATTCAGCTCCAGTTTGTAAATGCTGTAAACAGATCCTATTGGGAGTGCGGATTCACTTTAACCACTTCCCGCTCCACCTGTTGTAAAAATACAGCCAGTCGGGTGCCCTACTATCCCATTGGATGTCATATGAAGGCACATAACTGAGAAATCTGCAACTACGGTGTCCACCGGACACAGCAAAACTGAGTGATTGATATCGGGCTGCTGTGATTGGCCCAGGTACTATGTGATCGCTGTGTCCAGTCACAGTGATCACATGCTCACTAAGTAAATAATTCCCATGAATGGCAATCATTGATGATTCATTATTTATTATTGTGATCTCTGTTATTTGTAACACTGATCACATGGTGTACAGGGTCAATCACAGCGGCCCTTGTACTGTGGGATAGATGTGGCCAATTTCAGCATCACAATAAATAGTAAACAAGAGTCATGAATGAAAGCCATTCATGACAGTTCAAATTATTGCTTTTACAATGATCATTACTGTAACAATCAATCGCAGTGTAAAGAAGAAAAAAAAAATCCCAATCACCTTTTCAGAGTAGTACAGTGTCACTACGGTGACAACGTTGCACCATTCGCAGTGTCCCTGATCACCACACCAGTTAGGCCTCTTTCACATGACCGGGTAGGTGGATTCCTGTGGCAAGAATCTGTGGATAGGGACAGAGGTCCAAGCCTGGAGGCAGTCAGCTGTATCCAGGCTCTGACATCTGTCCCAAACTGCAGCTAACCGCTGGATGTATACATAACCCAGTCTTTCCAGCAGCAAGAATCTGCATACTCTTGTTGCAGGAATCCGGCAGCCACGCCAGCCCAGCCATGTGAAAACAGCCTTACAATGTCCATGATAAGCCACCACACCAGTTACACTGTCCCTGATCACCGCTAGAGCAGTCACAGTGTCACCATAAGGACTTGTTCACGTACAATGCTCTTTGAAGAGCCACCCATATTCAGATCACTCTTCAGAGAGGATTTGACAGACAGAGAGTCAGTATTGCCTCCTCACCACCTGCTTTAACCCCTTGGACTTCCTGTCCTGCACAAGCAACCTCAGTCCCTTGAATGGGTCGCGATCGGTGAAAATACAGGGGATATAATTTCTGCCACAGCTGCAAAGCAAGGCATCACAGCTACAGCATGTACTAACCCTGGCCTGTTTATTGAGCACGTTTCTGCCTGTTGCCTGGACCGATTCTTTGCCTTTTTTACTGACCATGTCTCTGCCTGCGCCTTAACTGACCCATCTGCACATCCCACTGACTACGTTCCTGCAAGACACTAGTCTCAGCCATACCCACGGAGACAACTGCACTCCTGCACAAACTCTTTTGTTTGTCCTTTCTTTACCCTCGTGTACTTCCAGGCCTGTGAACATGGCATTCCTGGGGGCAGGCTAGGCTAGGCTGCTATAGATGACGCTGCGCTAAGCTATATTCGCTGACCACTTGCATAGAGATTACCAATTAAGTACATTGGTTTTGATACAATTGGTTGATTTGTGTGACACACTAGCTAAAATGTGCTGTATAAAGTCAGTCCAAAAAGTCTCACACATGTGCTATCGCCATACTTAGAAGGGGTAGCAGGATGTGTTTTGGTGTGTAATTTTAAGTATGCCTATGCTGTGTGTGAGAAAAATCGTATTAAAGTAACAACCTTGTGTAAATCATTTTTATTTTCATTCTGCATTTTCCAAAAACTTGTGGCAAAAAAATGAAGTCTTCAAAAAAAAAAATCACTATGCCTCTTAGAAAATACCTTATGGTGTTTGCTTTCCAGTATGTTGTAATTTTATGTGTGTTCCCACTGTCTTGGTGCTCCAGGGCCTAAAAAATGTGATAGGCTGTCAGGAAATTGAATGCATAATTTATGCCCCTAGAAAGTCTGAAGGTGCTCCTTTGATTTTGGGCACCTCTGTGTGGGCTGTGAAAAAGGTAAAACGTCTTATAGCCAGATGTTGGATGACTGTACCAGAAGGAGAAGCTTGCTGAAAACTTGGCAAAAGCTTCATAAAAGCTTGCTAATCACACTGCTCTAATGAAGACTGTGTGAAACAGATGATAGATTTTTGTTTGTCTGAGGAAAAATTCTTGATCTTGCTTCTTTTTTCATCACTGCATATCGAATCGATTTAACCCCACTAACCCTTACAAAAACAGGAGCATTCTTAAAATGAAATATTTTGAATAAAATTCTGCTAGTGTATGGCCAGCTTTAGAAAATTTTTCCTAATCGTTTTTATTTTTCCCCCCCAAGGTAAGCTGATGCTAAATTAAGAATGCTTGAGAAAATAAATGATTCCTTTGTTTGGATTGAACCTACATGTCCAATTATCCTCTGTTGTATATGGCCCCCTTTTGACCATTGAGGGAAATTTGTTTTTTTTTTTTCCAGATGTGTAGCTTTTATGTCTTCTAATTTTTTATAACCTCAGCACAGGAAACTCCAATATAAGCTAAATCTTCTCCAGTGATCACCTTACGAAAATCACTAGCAATCAATTTCTAGGAATAGTGATCTTTCGCTAAACCGATAATAGAACAAATTGATTCCTGTTGTGTAAAATACTCAAAAAGCATGTAGTAGAGATGAACTAACATTATCTTCCCATGCTTACAATGCCATTTGGTTGCTTTAATACATTCTACAGCAATTCTGAAATGTAATTTAGTGCAAAAGACATATTAGGGGTCCTAGGCAAGGTAGCAAC